CGCGAGAAGGTCGCGCGCGGCCAAATTCGGATTTTGCCGCGATTACTCTTCGCGCCTTTTCGCGCGATTTTTCTTCGATCGCGGCTGACTTGCGAGCGCGCGCGCGCGCGACAATCGACTTCCATTCGCCGCGTTCTTTCACGATGCGCAGCGAGTGGCACACCGGCTCCCTTGCCGGGACGAAGCCAATTTCGTCGTTTGACCGAGAAGCGTACAAATAGAAGCCGCACGTACGTGAAGCTTCGGTGAAAATAAAAGTCATCGGCTGATGTTTGCTCGCGTAGCTACGCCGACGCGTCCGCTGAAAACTTCCCGCCTCTTTACGTGCAATTCCCCCCGCTCTCGCACGGTCTCGCGCTCGAATCCTCCGCTTGCAAAAAAAGAACAAAAAATAGAAAGAGAAGAGAGGGCGAGAAGGGGAGAGGGGGGGTGGTGGAGGGAGAGAAAGTTAGTAGCGCGCGGCGGGGCCGATGCGCTTCGGCCGCCCCGAAGCCGCGGGCGGCTGCAGTTCTCGCGGCTTCCCTCTCCGGAGGATATGACGTCATCCCTCGCGCCGCCGGCGGCGATAAATGGAAAATAAAAGGAGAGCCGCCCTCGCGCCCTTGTCCGAGCGGCCGGCAGCCCCGGGAATAAATCACGATCGAATTGTTCGCCGTGCATGAGGGGGAATCCCCGAGCCCGAACGCGTCATGCAGGTCCCCGCCGGAAATTAGAATAACGCCGGCAACGGGGGGGGGGAGGGGCGGCAGAACGATGGAAGCTGCTGCGGCATCTTCCCTCGGGCGGTGCGTTCATATCGTCGCGGTGAAGGAAGCATGTCCAGCTGCGTCCATCTATTATTTAAACTCTTCGGCACGAGCGTCGACCGAGGAGTCTCTTCCATCCAATGTTGTTGACAAACTGGTTTATATCTCGAAATCGTCGACCGTTTTCTTTTTTTTTTTTTTTTTTTTTTCTTTTGTCGGAGCAACTTGCGTTAAAAAGAGCTCGAGACTCGCAAGGAGTGGATAGCGCCCGTTAAAGTGAATAAAAGAAAAAAGTGTCTGGCGAGTGTAAATTGCAAAATCGACTGTTTCGGAATGTTTTGTAACGCAAGTTTCACGAACGAGTATCTTATCGCTGTTAAAATTAAATAATTGCTGTTTTATAATTGCCGTTTTATTGTTGCTCTGATATTTCACGGAACTTTCACGCTCTCCACGTATCGTTCGCTCGTACTCGATACAGCTACTCGTTCGTTAAAGTTCTGTCACCAAGGCCGATAAATATTTGCGACTCTGAGAGGATTGATCTTTCGACCTTTGTTGACTGAGCGCTTTTCACTTAATACAACCGGAGCGCCGCGTCAGTCCTACAAACCCCGAGCCCGTTTTCAAATATTTTTATGTTTATCCGGATGAATTTGACCAGAAGACGCGGCGCACGATGCGCTTCGCGCGTTCTGTAAATCTTCTCTTTCGTCACGTGCGATCCAACAGCTTCCGGCCCGATGGCGCGGAAAAGGCGATAAAGCGAAGCGATCACTTTTTGCTCGCTCGTGTAATCTCTCTTTATTCTGATACATTTCTCCAGAACGATAAATTAATTCTTCCTTACCGATGAAAAGACACTTTGCGGTTTTGCCCTCGAGAGTCGCTCACTCGATACTGCGGAGGAGCGCTTCTTCCTCGCTGGCAAATTGCAGCGTGCCGAACCGGTCGGCGCGTCAAAGTGAAGAGATGCAGAGAACACTAAAAAATAAGTAATTTCAAAATAAGCGGAATCATCTTAGAGGATTTTATTTTTATACATGGCCTCTGGAAGATTCCTCTAAGATTAAGAGGAAAATATTATAAACACATTGTTCTTAGAGCTAGATTCCTCTAAGATTGAGAGGAAAATATTATAAACACATTGTTCTTAGAGCTAGAGGGATTATATATGTTTTATGTATATTGCAAATCTTATTGATTTTAATATAAATTTCCTCTTATATACAGATGATTTAATCTTTTTTTAAGAGGATTGTTATTTAATCTTACTGGTTATACTGGTTAATTTGAAAAAATTATTATAATGTGTAGCGAAAAATAATATATATATATGTATATGGATGTACTTCTGGCTCCGGTTCTACAAAATAAGTAGGCACGAATGAAATAAGATCATCATAACAAATTTCCAATCAGTTTTGATAGCTACAAAGATGTCCATCATAACCAATTGTATGAAACATAGTTAAAAGAAAGAATACATTATTCAACTTCCTGCAGTAGATTATAAACTGTATTTGACCAAATATGGGTAAATTATCTTAGTTATATGTTACAGCGACACACATAACTTTTTTAAAAAGCGTCCCAAAGATTAGAGATGTGCGAATCTAGAATTTTTATGTCGAATCGAATCGAATCGAATGAAATCGGATTGAATCATTAAAAAATTTAACATGACTATTAAACATGCAAGTAATGATGGAAGATTTTAATATGAAAGGGAATATTGTAGTATCATCTTAAAATAAAATATATATTAAAATAAAATATTTAAAGTAATTTATAATTAAGTTATTAATTATAAGTTAAGTTAATTACAAGTTAGGGGTTCAAACATATATAGATGGCCCGTTTTGTAGCTGATGTACGCAAACGATAATGTATAATATTTGATTCTTATTCGAATAGTTCGCACATCTTTACCAAATATTCTGATCTATAAGCATATGATTGTTTTCTCGTTCATGTCTGGAGGTAGGCCATGACTGAACAAAATAAGCCGACATTCAAATCAACATATTCCTCTTCAGAAGAGGAAAATTAATCGATATAAGAGGAGATAAGAGGAAAACAGTTGCTAATAATATCTAATAAATTTTCGATGAATGCTTCACTTTAATCGCTTGATCGAAAGAGGAATCCTTTTCCTGTAAAAGGCTTCGCTTAGAATATGAGACTATGGGAAAAATCACTTTACAATTAGAATACTGTTTTTTTTTTTCTGTTTTTTTTTGGTAAATACGTCAAAAACAGCCCGTCGCTGGACGCACCGCACGATTCGGAATTTAACTCGGCAAATTGGCCGCGCCTCTTAACGCGCTCGACGATTTGCCCGGCCAGACTTTCAGCGCGGTCTAAAAAAGCGCCGGCCTACGTCATCAATGCGCAGCTACGAGGCGGACGGACAGACGCAGTTTGCGCGGAGCGGCATTATTTAACCGCGTTTCGCCGAGCGCGAACGATATCGGAGCGTAACATCGCGCGGCGCATTTCCACCGATGCGTGCGTGCGTGCGTGCGTGCGTGCGTGCGTGCATGCTCGCCGAAAAGCCGGCGAGCGCGCCGGCTCTGATTTCCGTTTTTCCAAGTAATGAAGCCCGAAAGCGGGATAGCGCCGCGGCATAACCACCGGCTGCCACGTGGGAGCCAATAAAGCGGAAAAATCAAATGCCAAATAAAACGTGTCCAAATAAAGGAATTAGTTCCGTTACGTGCGCGCGTCGCGTCGGCTCCCCTCGATTTTCGAAAATACCTCCGACCGACGAGAACGAGGACGTAATTTCATTTCGCGTCAAATCTATCGGTCCTTTCGCCCATTCACTCCTGCCCGCCGGCGTTTGCGCTCTACGGGGTGGTCCGTCATCGCAGCGTCTCGCAGCCTCGCTGTTACTGCGGATGACTACATTCCTTTGGAACGTCGAGACCAGCGTCGACGCCGACGAGGGAGACGCTGTTTGATGTGTCGAACGTCAAGATCAGACTCGAAAGGCGACGTGCGCTTTTCGCTAGGCCTGCGGCGACGGGCGGGGGAGGGGGGGCGACAAAGCCCGCGGTGGCGCCGCAAACACCGGCCCCGCTGCGAGATAGAGAGAGAGAGAGAGAGAGCTCCTTTAAAAAGGAAATTGATATTGTTGCGAAATGCATTATATCGTTATTACATAATGCACGACATTCTGCGTTATTAATGTGCAGCGTTCATTATTGATTGCAATATTGATAGTAATATACGATATTCACGTTGTTGCGCATAATTTTGGCGGTGCGATCGGGGAATAATTCCGGTGCGCGCGAAATCGCTCGCGTAGACTCGCGCGGCGATTGTTATCGGCGAAAGGCCGCTTGTGCTTTTTGTTCGTCAGTTTTGCGGGAAGAAGCCGGAAGGAAGCTCGTCGCTCGCATCGGGACACCCCGTGTGCAGGCATCAGCCGAGTTTATAAGCGCGCGCAGTTCCGAAAACTCATTTCCACCGTTGGTGGTATAACGCTTCGTTAGCGGCGACGCTGCTGCAGCTATACGGGGTGTCCGTTTCACGGCGGCCCCTTTTATTTGCTAAACGACCGGTCGCAGCTTGAGAGAGAGAGAGAGAGAGAGAGAGAGAGAGAGAGAGAGTTGCCTTCTCGACTCTGAATCATTCGACGGCGGCTGTCGAACGGAGAGTTTCGCTCGCCGCGAAATATCGCCGCTTACTCCGGAGGGGACGTTTCCGTCGCTCGAGGAAAACAACGGGGCGCTCTCGCGGCGTGGCGGACGTGGAATTACGCGAAATCTAGACAGAGAGGGAGAGAGAGAGAGAGAGAGAGAGAGAGAGAGAGAGAGAGGGAGAGAGACTGCGTTCGGAACCGCGCTCGGACGTGCGGATGAATTTGATATGTGGATAGCGATTAATCAGGGGAACTCGGGAGCTCGCAGCGCCGATAATGCGGTTCCTCCTTCTTCCACACTGCGGCCGTCGCGAAGCGCTTTGAGGCGAAACGAACGGAAGAGCACTCCGGTGTTTCTCGGTGAGAATGGCCTAGATCGTGGATCCTGGGCAAAACTCTCGCAGTCGGAAAACAAGCAAGCGGGATACTTTTACATTTTGTTTCTTGCTCGGTGGCCGAAACTACCCCTCGCGCGCGCGCGCTTCCTCCTATCGGCAGGGGGAGTTGAAAAGTGTTTCGAGACTGTGTGTGTGTGTGTGTGTGTGTGTGTGTGTATGTGTGCACTCGTGTGCAGCAAATGAACGATTCCGTCGTTCGTGTTTCAG